AAAAATGTCCGATTACTAAAAAGTTATTGTTTTTGTAATTAAACATAGACAATCAATTTATTATTGAATGAATAAATAAATAAAAAATTTCCATGAAATGACGATCGAAATATAATTTATATCATTCCAAATATAAGCTTGAGAACAGTTAGTCGTACAAAAATTTGGAAATAGTCAATTTGACCATATTTCATGCGATGCATGTTAGTTTTAGCGTTAATGAACGACTATATAATTATTTAAAGTCTGTATATATGGTTCTGGGACAACCTATGTAAACTGGTGGTTACTAATTTTACAATTATAGAAAAATACGGTAGTTTGTGACGATAGGAATTGTGACGGAAATTGGGACATTTACTCTATTATCGTCCATTTCGTGAACACGTCCGAACCAACCGGAAAAATGAGGACGAGCAAACATGCGCCGCATACGTTTCTCTTTTCCTATTGTTTTGAGCCTCACGGGTCACGGGAGCTAGCTTTAACACGGAATATTTCATGCGTACGCGAAAATATGAATGTTTAACTCGGCGTGTAGCACGCCCCCGTGAAAGTTTGCTGTGTCCCGTGATGGGGCCGTGAAAGCCTTTTGTACCGCGAACGTAGGTACTTAAATTCGTTTCGTGCTACTTATCGCGAAACGAAGCAACCACCCACGACCATAATCCAAGGGAGCCCACTTTAGGAAGGAAAACGCTTGCTTTAAGACGGCAGCTTTCAATTTGTTTCAAGCGCGCTGCGCTGTTATCGCGGTTCCCGCCACCGGCATTCTTTCGATTCAAGGATTTTCCTTTGCAAATTTCTTCTGTGCTCCCTCTGGTTTTTATAACACGTATCGCATACTGTTATTTATAGAACTGAATAAAGTATGTTCCACTACAATTTGCATTTTCATTTTTATAAACCAAAACATTTCAAAGTTATTTGAATGACCAGAGAGAAGCAGTGCAAAAGTAGTCTTTAATGAATGGACACGAATAACATTTTACTTCTTTTTAACTAACTAAATTCGGGATGTCATGTGTTATATCTAGATTATTTTCGAAAAAAATATTTACAATGCGCAGCTTTTCTTGTTCGAAGCCTCTTTCCCTTTCGTCTCTCGTGACAAGTATACTTCAAGTGGAAAATAATCGGTGAAAAAGAGAAACGAGGTTTGAATAAAAAAGAATTAAAGTCGCGTGACTCGCATGATCGTGTGTTCGCGCGGTAATGTTCGTTCGTGACCTACATTGATCCCACCGATTCGGGATAAGAGCTGATCAATCGTGCTCATACGTTTCTAGCAGTGTTTTTGTAAAATGGTACACCGAGCTTATTTTTCAATTGGTCGCGGTGTAATGATTAACAGTGGATAATAGAATATCGTAGGAAGCGTTGTTTGATAACGAACACATTTCTATCGAGATATCAGCGAGTTACGCGGACGTGATAAAGCGCGAGGACAGTCGCGCATAACAGGCGTATTAAGCTGGGGCGGACAACGGTAATAAGTGGAGAGATACGCGGCCGCGTAATCACGAGTTATACCGTTACATTAATTTCATAACTTACGGGGAACGTCCATGAATTTCGCGATTAATCCTGATTTACTCGTGTCCGAAGCGGTTACGCGTTCCTGGCTTCGAACTACGAAGCTCCATCGTTTCGGCCCGCGACCCAAAAATCTATACGCACACGCCGACAATGGATCCGACAATAGATACAGGTATACGCGCCTTCGACCGTCGATTAACAGAGCTACGGTTTGAACAATATTGTTAATATTCGATAGGAATGCGAGAGCTGCGCGTTCGGTTTGCGTACCCGGGCTCATTATTATCAGCGTTAATGCAATCTGCGGAGTAATTCCGGCGGGCTCACTCGTTAATTGCTCCGCGGTACCGACACTCGACACGATAAATTTGGATGGATCAAGTGACTCGAACGTGAACGTTTCTCTGCAATTCCTCGCGAACTGCGGGTTCGTATCGAGTTTGCTGCCGCACGCGTTCACGGCACACCGACACCCGCGTGCAGGTACATATGCATGCACCCTCGGAGCGAGAGGCGGAAAAAAGAAAGCGAGTCACACGTGTAACTGGAAACAAACCGGCGAACGTAACTGGAAACGGCGCGACAAGAAAATGGAGTGGTTTCGTCGGTAAAGAGTCGAGTCGAGGGCGTTTTATTTCCGTGCAAGTGAATAGGACGCAGGAGCGAGTGGGAACGGAGGAGAGCTAGCGACACGCGAGCACGTCGCGGAACGATAAAGCATTGCCGCGGATACGACCATAATCCAGTTTGCCGGCATATTGACGAACCCACTCGGACAGTACGTAATGCGTTACGAGTGGCCAGATAGGGAGGCGCGTAATGTGTAATCGCGCGACGCATTATGATTCACGCGAGCACACACGCGAGCCACGATAAAGTCCAGCTGCGGCACACGCGTACATGCAATGTACATATGTGCAAACATCCAGTACATCTACGTGTATGTATACAGCTTGTGAGTACGTAAATAGGAAAGCCACGTAACCCTTCGAGTGAGCTGGGCGTCGATCTGCTGTCGAGCTCATTTCTTCTTCACAAATCCAGATTTATTTATTTTATTTAATTTTAATTTTATACTTTACTATTTTATTATGCTAACTAGAAATTTTCGCTGTAATTACTTACAATGAAACGTCTTTACTTTTTTTTTTTATATCACATTGCATATTTGTAAAATATGTATATGAGCTATGAACTCATTTATATGTTTTCACGCAATCCTTCAATTTGGGATATGAACGCATATATGCGATACCAAAGATGCTTGTAAGTCTAGGGATGCGCGTTTATGAAATGTTTCATCAGAGTTATTCATTAGTTATTCAGCGCTGAAAGGAGGCTGAGAACGGGGTGGGGGGCAAGCTAAAATATTTTAGCAAAAATATGACTCTACATAAAAATTTACAGTCTCATAATAAGGTAGAAATAACGAACTATTATAGTTCGAAATTAAGTCCATAATATCTATTTGAATTAACTCTCTGTTAGCTGACACGGCATAATGTTTGGAAATGTACATTCTCATAGATTAAGAAACTATAAATCGGAGAAAGCTTTCACAGTTTCATGTTTAACAAAGGAGTTGCGAGCCGAGTGGTCGGTCGGCGTAGTCAGACATTTCAGACTTTGGATCCTACCGGAAAAGCTCCGAGAGTTCACGGAGTTCTAACAAACTTTTCTCGAATAAATTAAAAAGTCGTAGACTCTCCATGGGCTCGATGGGACAGCGTATACTAATTTCTGACCGACCTCGCCGGCTTTAAAGTACGTGCTCAGACTTCGAGCCGGTTTTTCTCCCTTCCTAAATCCCCCGGCCATTTCCGAACGTGTCAATTTCGTTTACGTCCGTCAGAGTCACCGCTTTCTACGGTTCAATCTTTTAATGAACAATTAAACGTCACGGCTAAACGACGGACGGAAACGACGACTGATTTTACTTCACGGAATTGGCGAACGTGAGCCGACCGACGGTCTGTACGAAGGAACGAACGGCGCGTTTATGAAATGTAATTTTGAAATGAAATAAACCGAACGGGAAGGAGATCCCAAAGCAGCTGGTTGTCGCAGCAGC